GTCGATTGTCTGCACAGCTTTGCTGCTGCACTGAAATCCCCAAGGCACACTAAAAGTACTTCCAGCTTGCAGTTTTCTGTCATTTGAGAAGATGGCTCACAAGCTCTATTTGACTCAAGGGATTACTGTAGGTACAAAACAACAATAGCACTATCACTAAGCAGATGAAGTAAGTGACCGACTTCGTTACCTGCCTGTTTATGTATAAATATGAAAAAGATTTGGTTTTTACCTGCACAGGTAGTCATTTCAAAATTCCAAGGTTTCACTTCATAGTTTTTAAACCCAACCATTCATCTTAATTGTTTAAAAAAATTGATCTAAAATTTGGAATTTATATGATTCATATAATTACAGCAAAATGTTGCCTGCTCAGTGCCAAGTAAAAAAAAAAAAAAAAAAGTGTACCTACCCGAATTCTCATTTTTCTTTCTGCTGTGTATATAGTATGAAATTGTATCAGTTCCAACTGGACACAGATTAGGAGCATCCTGAGTCTTCAACTCCCTATTTGCAGTTTCTCAAAACCTGTCAGTACCACAAATATTAACATTTTCAGTCACCACCTCCACATACAAAGTCTACAGTATGAGGGACACAGCTCCCCATTTGTTTTGAGCAGAAACACAGAGTCACCTACTTTCATTCTACTTTTAAGAAGGCACAAAATATCACTAGAGAGAGATTGCATAGTCATCATTTTTGCAGTTTTTTCCCCTTTATTTTTTAAAACTTGTGGTCTTCCTGCCTACAGAGCTTATCTAGAAGGACACAGAAACAATTTCCAAATTTCCCTCTTTTTCAGTGATCTTTCTTTTTTTTTTTTTTTAATAAGACAACATTATCTGAACAGGACATTATCTTTGTATGATATGCACTTTCTGGTGCAAAAAAGGTATTTAGTAAATTGGAAACATTAATTTGTGTAAGAAAAATTGCCTTCCTGAAAGTTTAAACATAATGATTTTAAAAAATGAACATGCATTTGGCCCAGGATAGGATATGCATCATGCTTTATGATTATATTATTTGTCTTGCTTCTTGTGAGCATTTGATATGCCTTAGAATATGAAAAACTCATGGTTAATATGTTAGAACTAGTGGATTTCAATTGGCTTAGTTTATTAATGCTTATGTATGTCTAACAAATATGAAATTATTCCCTGCCCAAAAGGTCTCCCTTGTCTAACACAGACCAGAAAATATATTTTAAAAATTTTATTTACAAGCTGTATGTCTATCTCATAGACCTTACACATACTAAACCCAGAGCAGAAATTATTGGGAAAGATACTTGGCACTATCATTTGCAAGGGTTTCAAGAAAATTTATTGAACAGTAAGAGAAAATAACCATAAGAAAAGACCATAAGAGCAGAATTTGAAGTCACCACAGGTGTTTGAAAACCAAACTGGGTTTGGTACAATGGGGTTACAGCTCCTCTAGGCTGTGAGCTGACTGCATCCCACCTCAGTATGCTGCTGGTGTCACTAAGCAGCACTCATGGGTCAGGGTGGTAGCTCTGCCATGGGAGCTCATTTCACTGACAGAATGGACAGGAAAGGTAATAGCAATAGAAATATTTAATTATTTCTGTGAAGGTAGACACTTCCATGCAGAGGACATGCACTTTTCTTGGTATATCAGTTGTGTTATCTCCAGTCTTATTAAAAACCCACAGATTTATAATTGCGTAGCTCAGAGGTGAGAGAGAGAACTAAAAATATCAAATACTAGTGCTGAAACTCTCCAGATTAAGCTCCTGAAACTTTGGACACTAAGCAGCCTGACTTCCAAAACTGCAAATTAGTCATCTACTTAGTTGCCTCTATTCTGGGGTGCTCAGCAAATTCCAAGATGCCCAAAAGCCATGTTGAGTATCCACCAGGTTTCACTCAGCCTGGGTGCTTGAGCAAACCCCATTGGAGTGGATGGAAAGACACACTGCTGTGTTTTGAATAAAATTTATTGACTGCAGAAGCAGCTGCCCTTTGAAGCACATGTCAAAACCAGATCACCAGATGTCTTGTCACCTGTATAAACTTTAATAAAACATTTGTAAACAACAGGCATGATATTTGACTGTTAGCCCCTTCCCCATAGTCATTAATTTTGGATGTTTTTGTCTTTGTTCTTTGTACAAGGGGTTGTTAAAGATCCTGAAACAAGAACTATGTCACATGGAGTGTTTTATCAAAATTACATCAAAATTCTTCCACATTGGTGGCCTAGAAAAGCATACTATATTGTCTTAGAAACAAATGACCTGCAAAGAGAGCAGAGTTTCCAAATTCTTAATTCATTGGCTACTTCACTATATTGTCTTAGAAACAGATGACCTGCAAAGAGAGCAGAATTTCCAAATCTTAATTCATTGGCTACTTCAGCTAGCAACACGTGTGAGAGTCGAAGTCCTGATGATAATAATTTACCTTTTTCAGTCCTGAAAACAATGGAAAACAGGTCTCAGACATGTTTCCATCATCTCCCCTATAGGACAAGAGAAATCCTTCTTGCCCCCTCTGCTATGGCAGTGTAATGCCATGCAGTTCCTCCTTTGTATGATTATTAAAAATAACATATACATCTCTTTGTTCCCAAGCCCCCACTATTGATGAATCTTTTCAGTATTGTCTCTAGACTGCAGAATATTTGCAGTTGTTTCAAATCCCAAGTTTAGAGCCCAGATGTCCCTAGTAATCAAACTATACAAAATGGAGTAGAATTTCAACAGTTTGGGTCTTATTTTTGGGATGCTCAGTGGAAAAAGCTCGAGGCTGGTCTCCATAAGCCATGACAGCTTGGTTGGGAGAGCTCTCAGAAGAACCATCTCGCCGTAAGAACAAGAACCATATGAACATCCTCATCCCTCCTGGAAGTATATTTGCTGGGCTGAGGCATCCCTGTTTGTAGGAGACCTGCAGGACAGGCTTTGTTCATGCCTTCTCAGACCAGATGGTAAGATGGTAAGATCAGAAATTCACCTAAAACAGTACAACCACTAATGGGCATCCAGGGGCCAGACTACAGCTCCTCTGAACTAAAGCTGCCCTGAAATGTGCAGCAGATGAAGAATTTTAATAGAATAAACCCCTGTGCTTATGCCTTAAAACAGATTTTGGCAAGCCATGGAGAGCAGTGCTCTCCCTTTAATACAAGCAGATCTGACTTTCACATGGCTTATGACAAAGCTAAATGTAATTCTGCATACCATCAATAAGTAAAATATATGGCTCTATGGTAAATCCTAATTCAGTGCTTCAGGTAACTTCATGGTGGCTGTGTGGGATACAACTCTAATTAAAAAGATACTATTTGGTAGACAGCTATAGGTAATTATTTTTTTAATTTGTTTTTTTTGTTTGTTTGGTTGGTTGGTTGGTTAAAAAGCACTCTACCCAAGCCACACCAATTTTAATTGAACAAAACTCTAATCCTAAAGTAGACTCAAGTTGAGCTCGGAGGTCACATTTTTCAGCAGCTAATTACTGAACTAGGAGGAAAAGAATAAAATATGAAATGCCTTAGTGAAAATTGAAAATATTTATTATGTTCTATTACAAAGAACTGATAAAATAATTGTTTTCATAAATTTGTACACTTATGGTTGGAGAAAGCAGATGTGAGATGAAGGACTCCCATGGGCTCCTTCTCCAAAAGGGACAAATTTTCATAGAAAAATGCATTGTTCAAAAATTTGTTCCAAATGCTACTCAAAACTATCACATTTGTGAATGTGTGTCACAAACTATATCAATATTCCAGCATTTTTCAAATATCGTGGCATATTTCAGCTACAAAAAACATCACCAAGTCTGCCATTTCTCAGAAACAAGTCTGCATGACGCTGTAGCCGACTCAAAAGCATCCAATATGCATCCCAAGGGCACCGCACACAGGACTGTGAAGCGCACAGAGGAGATGGGCTGAACCTGAAAAGAATAAATGTTATTTCTGCTGCGCTACGGTGCGGTGAAAGCGAGCGGCACCGACAAAGCCATAAGCTATTCACAGGGCTGCGATCAGTCACTGTGCAATGATGCACAAGAGAGACCAAATTACATTACAGCACCCATTCCGAAAGTCTTAAAAAGGAAGAAGAACTTCTAAACGCAAGATCAGTTGCATTGGGTAAAACATTGGAACTAAGGATCGGTAGCCGGGGCACCGCGGGCAGCGCTGCGGGGCAGCCCCGCTGCGGGAGCGCCGAGCGCTCCGCGGGGCGGGCGCGTCCTCCAGCCTCCGCCGCTCGGCAAAACGCTACCTGCACCAAAACGCGCCATTTCTCTCGAACTGGCATGCCCCTTTCACTTCATGGCTAACATAGCATCGAGGGGAATTTTCACGCCGAAGCGCCCTCAACAATTATTCACTGTCCCGTGACGGGAAGCCGGCGCTCCAGCGGGGGCGGCGCGCCCGGCGGCGGCAGCCCCTTCCCCAGGGCAGCTCGGGGGTCTCGGTCCCGCCGAGCCCCGCCGTGCCCCGCCGAGCCCGCCGTGCCCCGCCGAGCCCGCCGTGCCCCGCCGAGCCCCGCCGAGCCCCGCCGAGCCCCGCTGTGCCCCGCCGAGCCCCGCCGAGCCCCGCCGTGCCCCGCCGTGCCGCCCTCAGCGCTGCCGCGGTGCCTGCTGCAGCCCGCGGCGGGCCGGGCCCGGGCAGCCGGGGAGGGCAGAGGGGCGCCCCGGGGCCGCGGCGCGCCGCTCCGCGCATGCGTCCCGCTGCCGCGAATTGTCTCTCCTCGCCGGTCCGCGCCAAGTTCCAGTCCGCGGCTCGTCCCCCGTGAGGCGGCGGCCGGGATGGGGGCGGCTGCGGGGCGGGCCGGCCCGCGGGCGCTGCCGCTGCCGCTGGCGCTGCCGCTGCCGCTGGCGCTGCCGCTGCCGCTGGCGCTGGCCGTGGCGTGCACGGCGCGCAGGTGAGCGCCGCCGGGCTGCGGACGGAGGGAGGGAGGCGGGCGCGGGGCCGCCCGGCCGCGTCTCTAACCCGCTTGTGGCTTCTTCCCGCAGCGCCGACGGGCCCAGCAACATGTCCTACGTGAAGGAGACCGTGGACAGGCTGCTCCGAGGCTACGACATCCGCCTCCGCCCTGACTTCGGAGGTGAGGCGCCCGCGGCCCCCGACCCGCTCCCCGGTTCCCCCAGGTGCGCTAACGCCGCCTCCCGCTCCCCCCGCAGGTCCGCCCGTGGATGTGGGCATGCGGATAGAGATCGCCAGCATCGACGTGGTCTCGGAAGTCAACATGGTGAGTGACCCTCGGGCCGGACCCCACTCCGCCCCGCCCGTGCGGGGGCTGCCGCGGCCCCGGGGCCCGCGATGCAGCCGGCCCGGAGCCCGGCTGCGCGGGGATGCGCGTACCGAGCCACAGCGACTGCCACAGAATAACCGAGCACGTCGCACTTCCTGGGAAAAGTAATCTGCGTTTTTGAGATGATGTTGGCGTGCCTGTGGTGGCACCTCAGAAGAGCTCCCTGCTCTGGTCAGAATACCTGCTGCAGGCTTGAGGTCTTGCCCTGGTTTGCCCTTTGCGTAGTCAGCAGCTGCCGTCGGAAATGCTGGAATTGCTTGAACTGTAGCAGCAGATGGCCAGATGTGCGTGTTTTCAAGTTAAATTATTTAAAGAGTTAGGCAGTTCACTTTTCATGCTAGTAACCTTGAATAAAATGTGCCAAGAGAAAATAAGGACTTCTGGAAAACTCTTTTTCTTGTAAAATGGTAAAAAAATAATGACACTGCAGAATAGGTACATAAGGATGCTTCCAGCTATCAAAATCAGAAGTCTCATAGCTACAGGTGTGAAACATACTGCATTTGATTTCAGTTCTCCTGCAGGAAGGAATGCTAATAGACAAGCAGGTTTAAAGATCAAAAGTGTGACTTTAGTGCCTGCCTCATTTGACAGCCTTTTCCCAGAAGAAAACAATGAATCAGTTGCAAGTTTGAACGTTGTACAAAATCGTGTTGTATTAGCCAGCATCATGGGCATTTTGCTCTCTCTTTTCTTATGTTTGATCTCGCTGGAAAATCTCGGTTGTTTTCTGTACATAAGGGAACAGCAACTTAGTTAAAAGAAGCTTGGAAACCTTACATTTCCATCCTGATCAAATGTTTATTTCACTGGTTGATATTTGCCCATTTTAAGTAATTTACCCAAAGGTGGGGAGTTTTTTAGTAGTATAATTAGTTAATAGCTGTCTCTTCATAGATTTTTTGTTTTGTTTTCCTACTTAGTTTTTATCTCTTGTTCTTTATAAGTATCACAGGTTCCATTTGTGTGCAACTGTTTTGTTTGCTTATGAATGGGTGTGGTAGAGTGGGGAGGAAAGAGAATTTGGCAGGTTGTGTGTAACATACCAAGTACTGCAGACTGCTAGTGCCACACAAAGACAACATTTTGCAATTTTCAGCTCCTGGTCTTCCTTTTGATGTATTGTACTTTAAGAGAGGAATGTGGTGCAGACCACACGGATAAGGCAGAGGAAACAGAGCATAGACCTTATCAAAATAGTCAAAGAACATATCTACTCCAACTCCAAGCTAATTCTACAGCACTGAAGTGGATTGCTGCTTTCACACCTGGAAAAAGCCAAACAAAGCAAAGGAAAAAAATACCTATTCTGAAAAATCCAGAATTTACCTTGTAAAGTCTGAACACCTGAAATACTGTTAATCTGTAGGGTAGTGGATGTGACAGTTTCCAATGGCAATCTCACAGGGCACTAATTGCGTTGCACCAGCTCACAACATTTCTTAGTTTCATGCTGTACCTATCAAAGCTTTCTTCTCCTTTCTAACACTTGCACAGTCTCTGGGAAAGAGAAGTTATATGCTAAATGGATTATTTTAATAATCTCTGTGTGTAAAAATAATAATCTCTGTGTGTAAAAATTTAATAATCTCTGTGAATAAAACTGGTCAAAAAGTGAGAAAATGTTTTCATTTCATAAAATACCACATCTCACAGTGGAAGGAAGCAACTGGTCCCAGCTGTAGCTGTTGCCATTCCAGAAGGCAAAATATGGAGTCTCCATTCTGAATCAGTTTAAAAGGACTTTGATATCACAAGTGCTACCTGTATATACCTGTATCTAGTGTTCTGTGTTGCAAGGTCTTTATGATGTTGTTAGAGATTGTCTGCCTAGTTTTGGACAGTGATCAGTAGTTTCATCCATCATTGCAAAAACAAGGCAATTGATATCTTGGTATAAGAAGAAAAGGTTTTTTACCTAGGAAAATAATTCTTTGTTCTAGTACTTTTTTTTATTTCTGAAAAATCACAGCCTGATTATCACAGCATCTGAGATGCTTAATGTTGCAGTCACATAAGTCATTAATCTTCTTTTCCTTTAAACTGTGTCTTACAGATTTTTTAAAAAATTATTTAGTAAGAGCTACTGTTCTGTGGCTTCAGAGCCAGAAATGTTTTTCAGATCTAAATTTATAGTGTCCTCTGGCAATAGGGCAGTTTTGTTGCTGAAGGAAACCAGTAATAGGAGCCGAGAGAGCAATGCCCTCATCATGTGAGGTCCTCCTGACAAGAGAGGATCCATCAGAGCTCAGTCAGTCTCACCCTAGTAGTGTTGGAGGGAGTTGTCTTATCCCTTGGCTTTCTTCAGGAACATGAAACATTATATCCAGAGTGACAGAGACACATAATCACACTCATGGTGCCCACAGAGTTAAATTTTGTATTCCAGTCTCAATGCATACATAAGAATAAAGATTATAGAGGGAGAGAGAGAGGCTATGAAGGAGGTGCTCTCCTTTGGTGTGTTGGGTGAGACATGGTCATGGCTGTAGACTGCCTGCCATGTCAACAGGCTGATTTGTATGTCCAAGTACATCCAGTCCTTGGGTAAAAAGTTGAAGATATACTCAACAAAATTATTTTGAATTCTGTGAGCACCAGTAGTAGTAACTGTCTGTTCAAGCAGCTTGGCTGGTTGAAGTGGCTTGTTCTAATCTATGAGACTATTGTGAAATACTTTATTTAATTAATGAACCAAGACTTGCACATTCTTGAAGTCAATTTGTCTGGTTTTTCTCCCTTACTACTCAGTCCCTATCTTCTCAGCTCATTAAATAGCATTGTTTTATACCTGCTTGGTAGTTCAATAATACTGTGGTGAGCTGCCATATCAGCTTTTACAGAATGATTAATTGAAATGCTCAGTCTTTTGACTCTTCCCATTTGACATCAAATACATTGTCTTATGTTGATTTTTGCAGGTAATAAGCTGAAGAGCTTGTCATACAACAAACAAGCAGGAGAAGTAGAATGTAAACATCCTAGTGACCATAGCCTGGTTCTAACCATGCTTTCTCCCTAATGTAGCATGAGATAAATTTTAGTTTACTTTTTCATCTGAGTTTCACATCCTTGCTACGGTAAGTACAAGCATTACCTTCCAAAGGCACAAGGTGACCTTTCTCCTTGTCTCAGTTAATGACTTTCAGCTAATTTTCATTCATGACAGAGCTCCATAAGTATAATAGACAGTTACATGAATATAGAGTTCGTTAAGAACCATGCTATGACTAGATCTATTAAGCTGCTGTGATGTCTGGTTTACTCTGATGCCATTATGTGGTTGGCATAAGGTGCTGCTTGTACATCAAGAACAAGCATGGGTAGAATGATTGGCAGTAATTAGTGTCATGCTTCAGGGCAAGCAGCAAACTAATAATGTATTTATCTACTAAGAAATAGTCGAAAGAAGTAACTGGATTTGAAAAAATTCACATGCAGTACATGTTGTAGTTTTCTCTAAAATGTGTTCCTTACTGAAGTAAAGATGGTCAAGCCTTTATAATGGGCAAAAGATGTCATGTACATGTCCTAAAGTTTAAAACAATGCATATGATAAAGAACCTTTTATAGAGTAGGTAAAAAAGATACCAAAGAGGAAAGGGAAAAAAATGAAAAAAGCCCTTTATTTTATATTGAGAACACTGTTCCTGACCCACCATACTGATTTTACACTAATGATGATGTAGTTTCTGTGATCACAGCCTGGAGGTTTCATGTCCCAGCAAAGAGGTAAATGAAGTCATGGAAAGAGTGTATAATTCTTTAGCTTCTCTAAACTTGTATTCAAGGCTCCTACCTTTATCTGATCTACAAAAAAAGCCACAAATCTAGCAGAGGTTAGTTTATTTAACATCCCAACCTGTTGGGTAACATCTTTATGCCCCAGAAAGAATTTATGTTAGCTTAACTCACTTTTTGTAAAGTTGATAATTAAATAAGCCAACTGCATAAACATATATGTATTTATTATGCATGTATGTATATATATATGTGTGTGTATATATATATACACCTATGCGTGTTTATAAATATATATATATATATATGTAGACACAGACAAACAGAAGTTTTCCAGTTTGACACAGAAGCATCCAGGGCCTAGAAGAGCAAAGGCCTTCACCTTACTTTAGGGCTGATGTTAGTCCAGGTGGCTGGGGCATCCTACAGTGGTAGATGTTTAGCCAAGAGAATCTGAATCTGTGGGCATAAACACTTGAGATGGGTAATGCTTAGAACCAAGGCACTGAAAGTTTGACCATTAACCCTGGCAGGCCACTGCTTGTGCATTAGACCCCAGTCCCAGAAATGGTAGAAGGACTTCTGTGCTGTATGCAGGTTATCTTAAGATACTTTTTGGAGATTGAGAAAGATTTAAGATGCGTTTACTAGAGCAGCCAGAATTTCAGACATCTTATTTCCCCTTCCTGTCTTAATTAAGTATCTGAGAATTTAGCATGGTGGCTGTTGTAAATCTCAACATAGGAAATAAATCCTAGCGAACCAAATTTGCATTATGAACCTTATCTCATGCCTCTTTGCATCACAGAAGCCAAGTCTCATTTTTTGTAATCATAAGCCTGGTTTATATAAAATGTCAAAAATTCATTTAGCCTCAGCCAGTGTGGAAACACAAATGATGATAAATAGTCCTTGGTCTAAATATATTTACCAGGAGATGTCCATAATAAACTAATTATATTAAACTAATTATTTTTTCTGATAAGTCATAAAGCTTAATAATTATTAATGAAAATTTACTTAGCTGTAATGCAGAAGAAGAAAGGAGAAATACTTTTTTGTAATATAGCAACTGTCTTAAAGAGCATGAAGGACATGCAGAGGCACTTTAATATTAATAAGAATGTTCAGTAACTGATTATTTTTCCAGCAAATATGGAAAAACTAATCAAGTAATAATACATGAAGGCCAGATC